CCATCCCTCAGCAAGTCCTGCAGGACAGGTGCTACTCTGTCCCGAGGGGAAGGGCGTGGCTTCAGTAAGAAGTGTGCTGTGACCAAGGACCTGAATTCTTCCTCTAGTTCCTCTGCTCCTGTGTGAGTGAGCGAACCTGGTTCAACCACTTCAAAGCCATTGGTCATTCTGATTAGGTCACCCCTGGTTGGAGGATGTTCCTTGAGTATTCCCCTGGGCCCCTGGAGCCATTGCTCAACACCGTGACAAATGAGCAACGCGGCCCAGGGTTTTGAAACGAAATTCTTCTTCTTTTTTTGGTTAGACAGGGTCTGGTCTGGAACTCACTACGTTAAGACCAGGCTCACAGAGACCCACCTGCCTCTGCTTCCTGAGTGCTGGGATTAAAGGCGTGCACCACCACGTGTAGCTTGAAATGAGGTTATTAGAGAGAAGGCTAAGGATTTCATGTCCCATCCTCCTCCCTTTTTTAATTTTTTCCCTCCCTCCACCCCTCCTCTTCCTCCCATTCCTCTCTTGTTTCCCTGCATCATTCTCCACAACGTACTCTGGGAGGGCGTGTGAGTTCAGATAGGTCAACCAGCCCTGACTCAGGAGAGGAAGGAGCACAACTGCTCCCTGGCTTTCAGGCAGCATCTTTTCCACCACAGCACGGTGGAAGCCATATATCCGGTGGGTACTGGGGTGAAGATGGGCTGTTTGCAGTTGAATGAGGATGGGAGAGCTGGACAGTAGTGCTGCTGGTCGGTAGTGTCAGGCCATGGTGTTAGGGTGGCGTGGCAGTGTTGTGTTCTGAGGGGTGGTGGCAAGGCAACAGGAATAGAATGATGTGTCAAGAAGGTGCCCACCAGAAAGGGGAGGCAAACCCAATCCACGGCAGCTTCAATAACTAGGGCTTTGCTTTCCCACAAAGCAAGAGGTCTGGAGGGCTAGAAGCTGGGCAGGGAGACCTAGAACAAAATTCTACACAACCGTGCTGCAAGGCTCATTACCTCCGCCATGTTGGCAAGCTGAAGTTCAGCCTTCTTGTGGACGGATGGCTGCTGCTTCTCCACGGGTCACATTCATGGGATGCAGGAGAAAGAGGAAGAGATCACATTAGCTGGGGCTATGGCCTCTAGGAAATGTATTAACTTGCCAGCACACTGTTGAACTGAGTTCTTTGGTCCTAACTCTGTCACATGGTATGAAAAAATGGAAATAGGTGTTTAGCATCCCAGCCTTCCTACTAAATTAGGGAGAAGAGGTTGGTATGGATGAGGACAGGCCAAATTTAGTGTTCCCTGGTCAGAGGATGTGGGGTGCACGGGGTGACCACCCGGATGAGCAGGGTCCAGAAAGTGGGCTCACCTGAGGAGTATGGGTTTCTCACCCAGACACTAGAGGCTGTATTCTTCTGGTCACCTGTCCCTTGGCTGGTAGCTTCCCATTGCTGGGCCTTAATCCCCAGCTGATGTGTCTTTGTTCTGGAAGGACAGGTGTGAGAGTGAGTAGAGATGTTCAGTCCTGGGCCCAACCCTTGTGGGTATCCACAAATGGCATGTATATGATTACTACTGGGGGAGTTGGAGGTGGGTGTAAATGATTGTTTCCTGTCTCGACTGCCTGGTCCCAAATAATCACTCAGAGGGTTAATATTACTTATAAATACTTGGTTGATAACTCAGGCTTGTTACTAGCTAACTCTTACACTTAAATTAACCCATAATTCTTATCTATGTTTAGCCACGTGGCTTGGTATCTTTTCTCAGTAGGACATTCTCATCTTGCTTCTCTGTGTTTGCTGGTGACTCTCCACCCTTCTCCTTCCCATCATCCTCAGTTTGGTCACCCTACCTGTACTTCCTGCCTGGCTACTGGCCAATCAGCATTTTATTAAACCAATTGTTTTATTAAACCAAAGTGACAAATCTTTGCAGTGTACAAGAGGAGTATTCCACAGCAGATGGGTTACTTGGCAAGGGTAAAGTCAGTTTCCCGCATTCCCGTCTTGATCAGGACTCGGTCCCAAGCAAGTGTTTAGGTCTGGGTCTATCTGCCATTGTGTTTAAGGCAAGGTCTCCCTGAGGCATTTGTGGTGAGGGGAGGGGGTCATGATTGGCCCCTTGAAGGTAGCCAGAAGTGTCTTGGATCTGGAGGAGGCAGTTGAGAGAGTGGGCTGCTGAAGGGGAGCTAGATGTCTTTTGTTAAAAAGGCGTGGTGTTCCGGGGTGGGCTCTAGCAGCTTTGTACAGGGTCTGTGTCATCTTTCTCCAGTCCTGAAAGGCAAATCTTCATAAAAACCCTTCCCTGATCCATCCTTCCTTCCTTCCTTCCTTCCTTCCTTCCTTCCTTCCTTCCTTCCTTCCTTCCTCCCTCCCTCCCTCCCTCCCTCCCTTCCTTCCTTCTTATTTTGCTCTATCTATCATCTATCATCTACCTACCTACCTATCTATCTATCATCTATCTATCTATCTATCTATCTATCTATCTATCTATCTATCTA